GTTTCTATCAAACACAACCAGGAAAAGCAAACATTTCTCTCGATTGGTGAAGCATAATTCCTAGAAAGGTATTGATAGGAAATGATAACCAACGTAATTGTTCAAAACCATTTTCCGGAAAATGAGACTTGACAGCAACCAGTTGGTTTTCCTGCGCTGTAAACTGAGGATTTTACTAAACTTCATTTTAAAGGAACATTCATTGTGTCAGCTAACTGACTCAAAGGCCGGTCTATAGGCTGTAAAAACTACAAATGCGATAAGATGCAAATTTCAAAGGAATACAAACTGTTGAGTCTAAGAAGGCAAATCTCAACAGTAAACATGATGTTTACGACTTACAAACTTTTCCGCGTGGCGAAAGGTTAGTCACATGACCGCAAAATGAAGTTCATGACTCTGTGAACGACACGTTTTGAAGTTCAGGTTTTCCATGAGAACATATTCTTAATCTGAAGTCAACACTGACGGACTACATTCACATTCCGGGAGGACCACTGGTAACTCCCCAGTAGGAATCAGTATAGATTCATCGTTTCTGAATACTTAGACCATTTAAAGTTAAACTTGTTGGTTCATCATGTATTTGAATAAGCCAAATCAGGTGATTGTATGCCCGTTCAAGATTGTTCTGCAGGTATCTGTGTTTCTCACATAATTTCTTACATTTCTTACTACATTAGGTTTCTGTTATGAAGGATGGCAAGCAAGGAGGAAAATACACCTGAATCATCTACCAACGGTAAGCTTTAATTGTATATATTGAAACAATGCTTTGGTTAATCCCGCTGTGGAAATCATAATGAACGTATTGAATCTGGACAGTGGGAAAAAATGTATATGAATAGACTGTTTATTTTGTAAATATGTTTTCAGGTATTTTATACAATTGCACACTGGTAAAACTGCCAGGATGACAAATAACAGAATAAAACACAAAGTCATGATAGGTTTATTTACATTCAACAATTTGCTGATAATCAAATGATATTTGGAATGTTCACATTAATAAAAACTGAATTTTCAAAATGCATAAATAACTAAAAGCATCAGGGAATGAATAGCAGTGAGTATGGAATGTATTCCTAAACTCATCAATGTAGATGAATCCATATTATTTGGTTTTCCAATTTGAGAAATGTTAACTCTTTTCCCAAGAGAGGAAGAACTTTCTGCTTTTTCTTCTCCGGCCAGTCAATCGTTGTCAGGACCTTCTTCCTGCTTTACAGCTGCTGAAAGTTAGAAAACAATAAACAATAAGTACAAACAAGCATTCGTCAACAATATCGCTAGCTGGAGAATGGAAAACTGTCCAATGTTCCTTAAGCCTGAGGAAAAATGAACTGTAACCACTATCCAATAAGCACGAAGTTCAATAAATCAAAACTGTTCATTTGACCTGAAAAGTGATAAAAGTTTCAATCACAGAAGAACTTAGTGAAATTTGGAAGAGTAGAGAGACAAGCGAGAGAAGGACATATTTCCTTAGCTTGGGTTGGACAACTGATGACTGACAAAAACAATTTTCTTTCACTAAATAACAGTTGTGACTTATAGAAAACATTGACATTGAATTAATAACATCTCTTAGGAATGCACACTAAATTCATATTATCATTGCCCATTTTTCCGAGAAATTCTTATGTGAAAGCTATAACTTATTTTCTGAAAGTTACATACAGATAGTGAAACGTTCGTACTGCTGAAACCACAGTATATGCACCGAGTTACTTCCCCTTGATACTACAAATTAAATAAAATTATTTTTGAATGAAAATGCAAGCTTACATTTATAACGTCCAGCAAAAACAAAACATGTCATAACATGCACGTGCCTTTTTCTTTCATATTTTCATTTTTACGTCATCAGAAAATTATTATAAAAATATTCTTAAATAATATGTATGGTCGCCTATTTCCCGATATCTGTGGCTTTCCGCTCGGTAACATGACATAACAACGGTAATATCTGCGTTTTCGAAGCATCGTATGAATAACATGGGAGGCGAATCGTTTGATGTCGGGTATCGTTCGAAAGCTCTGAACATCAGCAACATCACTGAACCCTTGCCGAGAGTATTTTCACAGTTGTAAGAAGCGATTTTATTGGATACAAATTGGTTTCTAATGACGCTTTTTCACCACAATCTGCTATAAGGGTCGTGATTGGTCAAAATCAGACACGTGACCTAAGGCAGCCAATCATATTACGGCGATAGATACTGTCCTCGTAAACGAAAACTTTCAGATTTAGACGAAAGTTTTGGGTAAAATAATGCTATCTTGAACATATTAAGCAAGAAATCGCTATGGAACTTATTGGACGTATCGTGCTTGGTTATGACCTGTGACAAAAATGCTTCATGTATATATTTTGTTGATTTTATTCATTAGTTTATTCAATTTATTTAATGAATTCCTCCAAACATCGTTACTTTGCTCTTTGACAATGTTATTGTGGACCCGCTGCCGAAGCATGTGTCCGAGTCAGTAGTCGCTAAAAAAACAACGCGTCACTTTGGGTGGACCAGTCAGCAGCGCGGTCAACTTCAATCGTTCGGATTAACGCAGCTGTTTACAACGTAATTAGTCCAATCCGTTCCGACTGACCAGCGTTCGGAGGCGGAAACTGAATCATCGGATTAACGAGGTGTCAATTATATACAATATATAGGGAGATGATTTGGTGCCCAGTGAGTAGCGTTCGGAAGTCGGTGGATTCGGATTAACGAGGACCGGATTACCGCGGCCTGACTGTACATTATGCTTTGATATTATATGTATAGTTCATGTTTTTAGTTCACTTTCATACCTCTTCTTATTATGTTCATGTTTCTTTATACTATCAGTCAACCTGTTTATAACTCTCGTGAGCTTAGTTCCTAGAACCTTTCTCTTCTGTTTGACTTCTTTCTCTGGTTCATCATCGTGATCCACTTGTTGTTCTATCTCCATAGTACTTTCTTTAGGAGGCTCGTGCACTTCGACTTTCGTTGCCATCGTGAATCTCTCTTGTTTCTAACACCAAGTTGTCTATAGGGCGACACTCTTGAACTCTTGATATATATCTTCAGAAACTTTGGTGCAAAAAACAAGTAATCATCTGAAGCTCGATTTATCTTCTAATATGTTTAATGCCATAAGCAAAGCACCAAACAATATTCTGTAAAGAATAGAAAAGAAACATTGCTCAGTTACAATGTAAATATGGTAATCTTCTAGCACATCTCACATCATTACTTAAATGATCATCAAATTTATCGAACGAACTGCTTCAATAGATTTCGAACTCTGGCTATAATAAACCCTCTTCTCTAAATACCATACACGTAAATCCAAGCAAAGAAATAAAAAGTGTCAATGAATATCAAATTAAATATCTATCAATGTTAGCAAAAAATACTATGTGTGTGTGTGTGTGTGTGTGTGTGTGTGTGTGTGTGTGTGTGTGTGTGTGTGTGTGTGTGTGTGTATGTATGTATGTATGTATGTATGTATGTATGTAATGGATGGATGGATGGATGGATGGATGCATGCATGTTAAATCTGAACGTGATGCTTTGCACTAGGTACAGTGGCAGACTATGTAAACAACCAGTGTCGCAAAGTAGATGCTTCCTACACTAGGGGTGACAGGTTATCGAGAATATAACTTTCTCGACAATTGCTAGATTTCGCATTAATAAAACAAAACATGTCCTTATAAATGCAATAACGTTCAGATGATAATCCCAGACAAGAACGTAAGTAAAATGCACATAAAAAAACGCAAATATCACTCGAATACACAACACCCCTACATGTAAAATAGACGCGTTTTAAGAAAACTGACCTCATGGTGTTTCCATCACATTTTGAGTATTTTAAATCGATTGCAATATAAAAACACATATATCATCAAAACCTGCACATAAACATATAGTATTCACCTGAAGAGTGGATCTCTCCGAGCTGAATATCAATTAATAGCAACGAAAACATCTCTACGTCATGTTGCCATGTTGTGCCATGTCGCACCATCATTACCGGAAGCAAGTACCCGGGATCCTTCAGTAATTTCAAAGGAAAGGGAGTAATCATTAAAATTTGAAAAATATACAAATGAGGTTGAATCTATTCAAAACAACTCTCGGGGACCCACAAATGATGAGAAGCGCCTACAGTATCATTACTCAGTTGAGTTAGATTCTAAGAGGACACAGCATTTCTGGATTGATCTCTTAAATTACCCCTTTGGGGTTCTCACTTTGACATTACAAACAATCCCATGATCTCCAGGGTATGTCTCTATAACTCTAGCCATTGCCCATTTTCCTCTTGGCAAATTGTAGTCAATGATGAGAACCACATCTCCTGTCTGAAGTTGTCTCCCCTTTGTCTTCCATTTCATCCTCCGTGTGAGGCATGGCAAATACTCTCTGATGAATCGTTTCCAGAATGACTGAACAAGTGTTTGTGTGAATTCATATCTCTTCCTCAGAGACGCAGACTCATCAAATGGTCCTTGAGGTATATCGCAAGTAGCTCGACCAGTCATGAAATTGTTAGGCGTAAGAGGTCTCAAATCCTCTGGGATGTCTGAGGTGTAGCCAAGAGGTCTGGAATTCAGCAAACTCTTTATCTCTGAAAACCCTGTAGACATCTCGTTCCAGCTTAATGTTTGTTCGCCTACAGCCGTCTTCAAAGCTCTTTTCGTCTGTTTGACAAGTGATTTGTAGATCCCTCCTTGATGGGGGCTCAAAGAGGTCGCAAAGATCCATTTTAATCTCTGTCGGACACTGATGTCCTCTATCTCTTGCTTGGCTTAAGGTATGATCTTGCGCAGTTCTCTTTCTGCTCCGATGAAGGATGATACATTATCTGAGATAATGGTTCTTGACCAACCATGATGTGCCGCAAAACGTAGCAAAAATGTGAGCGCATAGAGAAATGATTCAGTGGAGAGACTCTCCACTATTTCCAAGTGTATGGACCTGACAGTAGTACATGTAAATACAGTCTCATACTTTCCTTTTCTTGTTGTGTCCATATTTGAGATAAAAGGGACCAAACAGGTCAATTCCTGTGGTCGTGAAGGGTGGTGAGAACACATTCACTCTCTCTGGAGGTAAGTCTGCCATCAAGGTTGCATGAGCTGGTTGCCTCAGTTTCATACAAATCACGCAGTTCCTGACCAACTTCTTTGTGGCATTTCGTCCTCTGATGATCCAAAACCTAAGTTTGCTCTGTGACAGGGTCTGCTCAATGCCTGCGTGGTATACCTTCTCGTGAGCTTCTCTCAGGATCAGCATGGCGACATGTCCACTTGGTATCAATATCGGATGCACCTCATCATAGCTCAGGGCTGACTTCCTAAGTCTTCCTCCAACATGGACAATGTTGTCCTTTTTGAAAGGACTCAAGTCTGCACAAGTCTCTGTCCAATCTCCCAGGTCCTTCTGAGCTTGCTTGATCCAATACATCTCTGCTGATGTGATCTCTTCAGGTGATAGACTTCCATCTAGGAGATCCTGGTCGTCAAACCTTCTCTTCAAATTCTGTATGAAACGAAGACAATAGGCTGTGACTCTTGCTAATCTTGGCCAACTGGAGTACCTCTCACCATTCATTAATGTCATACTATAGTCTCTCTTGAAGGCGAAGCAAGGTCTAGACACCTTGTCTTCCTCAGTGTATTCACTGGTCTCTGTGACTTTCTGTTTCGGCCACTGTTCCCTTGGCTGGGCAAGGAATTCTGGTCCCTGGAACCATCTTTTCCCTACATCTTGGACTTTCAGACCTCGACTTAGGTCATTAGCAGGATTTTCTCTGGTTGGTACGTAAAACCACTGGTTTGGATTCCATTCCGACTGTATCTCAGAGACTCTCACTCCAACAAAGGCTTTTCTCTTTGATGATTCTGTCTTCAGCCAATGAAGTACAATTTGTGGATCTGTCCAAAGAAAGACTTGTGGTTTCATCTTCATCTCAATGTAGCTAGTCCTAGCTAATCTCGGGGCCAAGAGCGCAGCCATTAATTCAAGCCTCGGTATGGTCGACTGCTTCAGAGGAGCTACCCTAGATTTGGATGCTATCAGTCTTACATCCGCTGAGTCATCTGAAGTTGACCATCTGGCATAGGCACATGCACCATATACTTGGCTTCTTGCATCTGCAAATAAGTGCAGCTCTGGTTCTCCTGCAGCATCCGTAGGCTTTACATACCTGGTGGTATGGACCCCTGACAATCTTTCTAGGTCTTGAAATACCTGTTGCCACTGTTGGCGGACGTCTTCTGGCAACTCATCGTCCCATCCACAGGTCTTCATTTTCCAAATGGCCTGCATGCCAATCCTGGCTCTTACAGTGACAACCCCTGCAAGCCCCAAAGGATCATAGATATTTGAGATATAAGACAATACACTCCTTTTTGTGCAAATCTCTGCTGAGAAAGCCTGAACTCTGAAGTGGATGGTGTCAGAAGTGCAATTTCATACTACTCCTAGGGTCTTCACACTTGGATCTTCACACAGTGAAAGGTTAACCTCTTCACTCTTCTTAACCCTGTGACTGACCAACCATTCCTTAATCTCGAAACTACCTGTACTGAAAACAGTCCCCAAATCTATCATCTTCACGTCAGCTTCTTCCTCTGAATCGCATGAGTGAAGTAAATCGTCCATGTAACGATATCTCTCGAGAATTTCTGCAGCAGCAGGATAATTATCTCTGTTTTCCTGTGCTATTCTGAGCATCACAAAGCTAGCCGCATCGGGGAAACACGATCACCGATTGTGACCCTCAATAGTCTGTATGTGGTTGGCTCTCTAGTTATATCGAGTTCCCTCCATAGAAATCTGTCGACGTTGGTATCTCTTCTCAACAAGCAAATCTGGAGAAACATCATGGATAGATCCCCTGCAAATGCCACAAGATTCTCCCTGAATCTTATCAGAACTCCAATCAAGTCACTGATCAAGTTGGGTCCTTTCAAAAGGAATGAGTTCAAGGACATACCTTGATATTCACAGGCAGGATCGAAGACTATTCTAAGTGGAGTACTGACCTTGTCAGGCCTGCATACAGCGAAGTGAGGCAGATAATACTCAAGTTCTTCTTTTGAGTTGTCCTCATCTAACTTCCTTTATGTCTTCTGCCCATCCTTTGGCTATATAATCATCCATCACTTTACAGTACTGTTTCGCTTTCTCCGGATCACGTGACAAAGACTTCTCCAGAGAGATAAGTCTTTTCTCTGCTAATGATCTGTTGTTGGGCAGGTTGCTAGGATCTTCCGTCCATGGTAAGCCTATCATGTACCTCCTGTTCACCTTCTCACATGTTTCTTGAAAGCATGACATAACTCTCTTGTCTTCTTCTGTCAGGATCTTCACAGGACATGAACAATTGGGTGCCTGTACACCTAGCGTCTCCAGGTCATGCATCCTCTGAATTTCCACCCCTTCAATCATGTTGAAGTAGTTCACTGAGTGAACTCCACTCTGTGTTCCCTCACCGGAATCTAGCACAATCCATCCAAGCTTTGTTCTTTTTGCAAACGGCTCAAAAGGAGTAGTAGATATAATGACAGTTCGAGGTCAAGTCCAACAAAAGCCTCTGCAAAGCTTTATTTCACAAATAAAGCTTTTGTCAGCCCTTAGATCTCGCCCCAGTATATCTACTACTTTTGAACCCCCAGTTAACTTCCCAGACCCACGTGGCCGCACGTGGCACTACTGTACCACTATGACGTGTTGACAGGAGGTAACATTGTACTGTACGGTATGATCAATAATTCCTCTCTAACGAAACCTCTCCCTGGCCCATTTCTCAAGTAGTACAAGTTTGGCTCGTCGGCTTTGATGTCCACTTTATCTATGTTGTAAGTTTTGACTGACCATATCGGACCGGTGGCTCGCTTACGACTATCGCCCTCGTGTTCCCCCGGCTGGTATAGGTACCTCACGAGGGCCCTATCTGGTATCTGTTTCTCCTTTCCACACGATGGTGCAGACGACTCTGCCACTTTTGATTTTAGTTTGATAGCGTTGGCTGGTTTCTTGCCAGTGAGCCGAGTGGTTTCGTGGTTGATGGCCGACACCACCTGAGGTAACCGCGCTACCCATTCAGTTGATTGTTTCCCCGGGTTGGTCATCTCTCTAGCATACTGATGCCCAAATAAGCGCTCAGCCAAAGTCCTATTGAATCTCTCAACTATGGCTTGGCTGCGATGGGCTACGACCGTGCCACGCCTGACCTTGGTATCATGTTTGTCTAGCAGGTGTGACACGACACCCATGAACTCCCGCCCGGGGTCAACTTGCAGCTCTGTGGGCCACGTCAGCGGACTGCGTTTGTACATGCGTTCGAATCCGCGGACTACATGGGCAGAGTCTTTCGCGGTCAAGGGTTCGGCTTCCTTGTAGCGACTGGCCACGTCCACGACGGTTAAGGCATACTTGTACCTCTTGTCGTGGAGTAGGAATAGGAACTGGTGAACGCTATTGGGTATATTAATACCGAACTTCCTTCCAGGCACGTAACGTGGTGCCAGTAAATAGATCTGCCAGAGGGCTTGTTTTGGCCTTGTTCGGGAGTACTCGCGCTTTTTAGCCAGCTTATGTACAGCGCTAGCTCCTTTCCAGTACCCACTCAGGCTGTAGTAAATAGCCTCAAACTTTCTTTGGTTCCGTGACATGTCACCCCGATATATATGCACCTATGTTCTTGGTTCAATTTTCTCATGTCCATACGCGTACGTGTTTATCCAATCAATAGCTATCCAAGGCTTAGTGTCCATCAGCGACAGGGATGTCTTGTTTATCGTCAGTCCGTATAGCCTATGCCCATCACTTCTAAGCATGTTCATTTTATGCCTGAAGGTACGGGTCTTGAACAGGGCTTCCTTGAATCTGGCGTGTTTGATGTGTTGTTTCATCACATACTTCTTAACACCCTTCGCCTTTTGGATCTCACCATTGTCGGCCTTCAGGATGGAGTACATCTTGGGTCTCAAGCCTATGTACTCAGCTATGGGCGTGCCAGCACACTCGTCCTTCATCTTATCTAGGACCTTTTTATTTACCATGCTGTGTATGGCATGGTCCTTGGGGTAGTTGCTGGTGTCATACAAATCGAGGCGTTTTTTCATGTCCTCGTACACGTCCTCGGTTCGAATCTCCATCAGCAGGGAATCTGTGTCAGTGTACAGCACTTCACACCTGTCGACTTTCTGTTTCTTGAGCTCGTTGTAGTAAAAGTCGTACATCAGGTGTTTGGATAAATCGAGGATGCTCATTCCCATGTAAACAGGCCGGTTGAATTTGATGTGTTTTTTCTTCATGTGTAGGGCCACCATGTCGTCGGTGAATATCTTGCTCCGGTTGAATGCCAGACTGGCTATCAGCCTCCTGAGCTTGTCATCCTCTTTTGACCGAACCAGCTTCACAGTCACGCGTTTCCTCAGGTTCTCCATAGTCTTACCAAACACCGAGTTTGTAGAGGTTTTTCTCAAAGTCACTGGTGGCAAGCTTTCGCAGGTCTGTGTTCATTCTGATGTAAGGCTCCATCCAGGGGCTCTGGTCGAACTTGAGCACCCTGTGTATTTTGGTCAGCCTCATACCCAACGACAGGTACAGCTGTAGGTTGCGATAGTGAACGATGTACTTGGTCTTATCCATTAAGTTGGGCACTTGTTTTTCAACGTCTGCCACCCGCCCACCTAACAAGTTATGTTGGTACTCAGACATCCAGTCTGGGTTAACCCTCATACGTTCCGGGGCCAGGGGGTAGCTGTTGTGTGATGTGTGTAATGCCTTGGGGTATTCTAAGTCCACCTCGAGGATATAGCCTTTGCTCGAATCTGGTGCGATGCTCATAACATCAATCTCGTGCGATGCCCATTCGAATCCCTCTGTGGGTAGATACTTGCTCATGCCCCAGCCGTACAGGTTGTTGGCGTCGAGGTAGAGAATATGATTGATTGGCTTGTTAGGGTCGTAGCCCTTCACGTATTGATTATTTGCTTTCGCATATTGTTTGGTAGCCATGGAAATCCCACCTCGCAAGCCTTTCTCAATGAATAGGTGCATGTCATAATCGGTGAGCAATTCCAACTTAACTCCGGTCTTTTTCAGCAATGCATCCCACGACAGGCCTGGGCTGGTGTAGTACCATCCGGGGTCGAGTTGGTACTGCTTAAAACACGTCCTCCTAAAGGTCTCGAACACGTCGGCTAGCAGGAGTACATCTATCCTCAAGTACAGGTCGTGGTAGTCACCCAGATTCTTACAGCCAAGTTTATTCCATACGTTAATCGCGTGCGAGTAATCGTCTTGGGTGATTGTCAAGTCGGTCAGGTTGCTGTAAAATTCTCTGATGGGGGGTAGTCGGGTCTTGGCGAACTTGGCCCAGCCATCCATGTAGTCCTAGGGGTACACACCCTTTCTCATCAGCAGGGGTCTAGTCTCGGGGTCGGTATATCGATCAGTGATTGGGAAGGTATCATTGGCCTTGACAAGACTGTCGAGTGACGACAGGAGGAACTGAACCGAATCGATGAACCTCAGACTGTTTAAGCTGAAGGAGATGTATCTCTCAATGTTGTTGGGGATGCACGTCAGGTTGCCGTCGACTTTCGCGATGGCCTGCATGATCAAGTGAGAGTCATACCCTCTCAAGTTGTGGAAGACCACGGGGATGTTTATTGTCTTGGGGGTGATTCTAAGCTTGAGATTGCAAGCGTTGTGAGCGGCGCCTCTATACTTACCGGTGACGTGGCAGTGATCTCTCACTAATCACCGTTCAGTGGGCTATCACACACATGGCAGTTAGTGCTGCAGGCGTGAGCTTGCCGGTCGGCTTGAGTCATACGCATGGGAGCGACTGTGTATAGTGTATTCCTAATACTTTTCTCTTCCTCCTGCAAACAGTTTAGAAACTTTTCAGCCGTTTCCCCATCACATTGGACGACGACGTATCCAAACCCACAGGCCTCGTGCTCCTGTGTTTTCTGTGTGTTGGGGGTACCCCCAGCAGCCCCGCCGGCGGCAGCCTCAACTGGTTTGACCAAGGCTTCAAAGTCGGCGTAGATGACATAAGGCACAGACATTTGGTTCTTGTGGTTGTCGAATTTTAAGATATTGTCACCTTCCTTGGGCATGTCGACTCGTATGGTCGTCTGCCACACACCTTGGCAATCCCCCCGGTGTGATTCCAGCTGATCGGGTCGACTGAAACCGTGCACAAAAGTGTTTTTTCCCGTCGTGTTTCGACTGGTCATGCAACAGCCTGCTGAGGTATTTTATCCATGTGTAGTGATACTTATCAC